CTCCCCAAGGATTTCCATTTCGAACTGCCGCATCCAGGTTCTTCTAGCGACCTTCACCTGATCGTCAGTCCACCTAGCACTTACACTCCTTGGCAACGAGAAAAAATAAGCATGAATTTGATTTATTATTTGTTATAAAAAATGAGTTGTAGCCAATGTTTTTCGATAGTGAAACGCAAATCCATGAAACGTTTTTATACGACCGGTCACTTTTCGGTCTTCATGGAATGGTCAAAATTTCGAATTTATGTAAATGATTGATGATCAATTATATTCATTTTCCATCCATGAACAACCTTACACAATCGCTCCGCAAAGAAGGTTACTTTTCAACCGACTTCAAAAAAGGAGGAGGTTCTCAATTCGACCCGTATGNGTGTAAGACTTATTATTTTTATTCTACATGTATCATAATATAAGCTGTATGTTTTCCTAATAAAGAAAATAAAAAAATAAAAAAGGGAGTGAACCAAGGGGTGTAAGTTTGTATAGCTAAATCTTTTCCTAACCAACGAGCAGTGCCGTAACTAGCCTTTTATGCGCTCGGTGCGAGCTTTCAAAACTGCGCCCTTGAAAAATGCTCTTGTCAGAAATGACCAGAAATATAAAAAAATGTAACCTTTTTGAATAATAAGTAAAATTTTATAAAAAAAATAAAACCGACTCCAAAAAACCTACACTAAAACGTAGAAAAATAATTACTAATTACCTACTTATTTATTAGGGCGAATTATTAATATTTATGTAGGTATACCATGATTGATACTTTTGGAGTCGGTGCAGGCAAACTTTACATGTTTCATAATCTTGGCACCGACTCCAGAAGTATCAATCATGGTATACCTACATAAATATTAATAATTCGCCCTAATAAATAAGTAGGTAATTAGTAATTATTTTTCTACGTTTTAGTGTAGGTTTTTTGGAGTCGGTTTTATTTTTTTTATAAAATTTTACTTATTATTCAAAAAGGTTACATTTTTTTATATTTCTGGTCATTTCTGACAAGAGCATTTTTCAAGGGCGCAGTTTTGAAAGCTCGCACCGAGCGCATAAAAGGCTAGTTACGGCACTGCTCGTTGGTTAGGAAAAGATTTAGCTATACAAACTTACACCCCTTGGTTCACTCCCTTTTTTATTTTTTTATTTTCTTTATTAGGAAAACATACAGCTTATATTATGATACATGTAGAATAAAAATAATAAGTCTTACACAAGCCTATGAGTTTTCACTGATTTTTTGTGGCTAATCTACCTAACCTGAAGGTATTCCTTCACTAAAGTTAAATTTATCTGTGTATCGAAATTCATCAAAATACGTCACTCGTTTGGGTGTTATAATTCCATTAAACTTGATTAAACAATGAGACAGACACAGTTAACATTTTAAAATAGCATATATTTCGATGTATTTCCACCTGTACTTATCAATCTATTCTAATTCCTGTTCAGGAATCCTGTTCTTTCTTTAAGTTGTATAAAAAGAATCTACCTACTGTAATAAATCCTCTTAAAACCTCACTATCTCACACGTTACACAACATACATACCACGCGATCGTCTCGTACGACGTAAAAGAGCCAATTTTTAAATAGGCGATAACGCAAAGGTGACATTGGTCCCGTCAATGGTGACGGAAGGGATGGGGCACCACGATAACCCAGCCGAATCTTGAATGTTTTGGTTCGCCCGTTTACGCAAACTGATAACGTGACATTCGTTTCGGACGATTTGATCACGACAAGATCATTAATTAATAAGCTGTAGGTATTTTAATAATATCTCGTGTAGCTTTAGGGTTGCCACTTGCCATTTAGCGGAATTCTCCCGAAAGTTTATACGACTTCCGAAAAAATTAAAAAAATCTCTCGGAAAACAATTTCGTTTTAGTTACTTTATTGTATTTTATTTGGCGATAATGACAATTACAACAGGAAAAGACATTGTTAGTGCGCTTTTGGTGCATTTAACTGTAACTTGTAAAAACTTTTTCTGAAAATCTTCTCTTCTTTCTTCTAATAATTTTTTCCAATATTGTAAGGCCACTCAGACATTTTCTTTTCACATAAATTGTATTAAACTTACTATTTGCAATGAATTAGATCAGTTTACTAGGAGTACCTACTTTAAGTTTTTAGAGGCATCGAAAGCTCGGTATCAATCGTCATATTTGTTTGCAAAAATGCTAAAGTATCGTATATTGTGGCAGACTATTGGTATTTACTTATTTGCAGTTTTAAGCAACGAAACTTACAATGTAATGTCGAAACCAATATTTGCCTCATTTTTAGCAATTTGTATAACAAGCTCTCATCTTTATACTCAATCCTTTACGTTCGTTATTAGTGCCCGCCGAGTCTGTTGCAATAATGTGCTGATAAAAATCAGAGGTTAAAGCACCAAGATTTTTAAATTTCCTTTCTTATCGTGTGCGTCATTGTAATGAAGTGTACATTATCTGTCATTTTTTCTCTACTAATGCCAGAATACGACACGATACAGTCCCAAATACAATATTCGTCGATTTTTAACGCTTTCGTTTAACGCTGAAGCGAATTGAAAATATCTTATAATTTGTATTTGACATGCGATTTTCGCTAAGTATCATTTTTTATTTTTTTTGAGTGGCAATTTTGAAATTCTTTCTTAACCCCTTGACCGCTGGCCTTTTTTGGTGGTGTCGAATTATGCCTGATGTTAATATTCATAAGATTTTGAAAGCACTTACCCTATTTTTACTTAAATGGTGAATGAAAAGCTTTTTAAGATGATTTTAAACTTCCAGTCAGTTTCTTACTAATGTTATGTAAATACGAGTAATCTTATTTAAGTTACTAAAGATTTATGTGACATACTGAAATCCACGCAAAGCTCTATGCATACGCTGCTGCATAGCTGGTATACGGATTAAAATATATTAGAATTTTCGATCTTTGAAAAATACAAGTGGGTTAACCAGACAAGGCTTGTCTACACTCATCTCATCGGGCCTTTGACAATGAATATTCAATGCGTGGCTATTATTCAGTTAACCCTTCAGTAAAGGGGGTTTTAGGTGTATACGTTTTACAATCGGATATAGACAAACGAGTACGGAAATTAATCTTATTATAGTTTAGCTAAAATTGCTAATTATCATTAGTAATCATAATATCTTGGCCAAATTAATTATTAGATGTATATTCTACGAATACGATACGAAGGCGAAGCTATACAGGGTGTTAGGTAAATGTGTATATGAGCCGACACTAGCCCTACACTATTAAAATAATTAAAATGATGATATCAGTTTTCTGACTTCACCATACCAATTATATGCATATGTTAACATGGGCTAGTGTCGGCTCATATACCCATTTACCTAACACCCTGTATAGTAAGTGTATAATTGCTCTGAAAAGAGCCTAAGTACTTACTAATAAATATTTTAATTTCCTGTAATTTGATTACTGTTAGCAAAACATTTATTTGAAACTTTTGTAAGTCGTCGTTTCAGCCAAATGACGTCCACTGCTGGACAAAGGCCTCCCCCAAGGTTTTCCACAATGAACGGTCCTGCGCTGCCCGCATCCAGGCTCTTCCCGCGACCTTTACCAGATCGTCGGTCCACCTAGTAGGAGGCCTGCCCACGCTACGTTTTCCAGCCCGTGGTCGCCACTCGAGAACTTTCCTGCCCCAACGGCCATCGTCTCTACGAGCTATGTGCCCCGCCCACTGCCACTTGATTTTAGCAATTCTGCGAGCTATGTCGGTTACTTTGGTTCTCCTACGGATCTCCTCATTTCTGATTCGATCACGCAGGGAAACTCCGAGCATAGCCCGCTCCATCGCCCTTTGGGTGACCTTGAGCCTTCTTATGAGGCCCATAGTAAGCGACCACGTTTCGGATCCATATGTCAACACTGGCAACACACACTGCTCGAAGACTTTCGTCTTGAGACACTGCGGTATTTCGGACATGAGTATATGGCGAAGCTTCCCGAACGCTGCCCATCCGAGTTGGATTCGACGATTGACCTCTTTTTCGTAAGTAAGAAACTAAATTGTTTTTAGTACGTAATACATATTCATGTGTAATAGTACCTATTGCAGTTTAATGAAATGTCACAAAGTCACAAGGCTCACTTAAAACTTCTTCCATTCTACGCATTTTTTTTTCCTGTGTTCTTAAAAAAAGCCTACCTGAGCACTTACAGGTTAATCTCCACGTCCCACTTCCATACATTTCATACGTTTTACTTGCATTTACATAATTGTAACATTGACTTATATAGTGAATGATCAGACAAAAGGTATCCTCGTGATATATTAGGATCTTAATTAATATTAATGAACGTTATATTGTTTTAGATTTTACGCACAACTAAGATGAGTATTCAAATATTTGTAGAGAAGCGTGGGAAGTGTAGGTGACCTGGAAATAATCGGACACGTAGAGCAGCCATAATAAATAATATTATTTAGTATGTCTTAAGTTTCGAAACAGGTCTTTGAACTAGTATTAACTCAAATACTTGTACAGAAATACCTACGGGTCATTTTTACACGGCTTGACGTTTCTATTTTAGTTGACATTAAACGCGAAAGTTTGAAAATCTTATAGAATTAAGAAGGAATATCAAAAAAAGTTTTTGAAGAGCTAAGTAACTTAGGTTAGATGATCATTTTTATTTATTTATGCAATTAGGCTTTTTTATAGCACTTTTACACGTCCCAATATTAACCCTACCAATGCTTCAGGATAATAAATGGGCCAGTGCTGAGAAGTCTCATTGAACGTGAATAACCAAAAATTGATTTAATAAATTCCTGAAAACTATGATACGAAGTCGCGAACTTAAGTATGCCAACCTGTATTACAGCTTTAAATATAGTTTATGAACGTGCCCATGTAAATAAAAGGTCAAATCACCATAGTTAATTTGACATAAATCTCAGTCGTGAGTTAAACCTAATCTCTAGGACGATAGAGTAGGTACAATATTGCCTATCTGTTTCAGATCTACAAAGGCTTGGATGTGGTGACAGCTAAAGCCAGCCTGGAAGAAAGAGAGGCGGCACCCCATCATCTTCTGGACATCCTCGAACCACACCAGAACTTCACCGTAGTGGACTTCAGGAATCGGGCACTCAAGATCGTATCCTTTTATTATATCTATAGCTGGACCTCTGAATAAGTACATACTTAACAATTCAATTCAATTCCGGAAAATAGTTTTATCACAATGCAAAAAGCAGCTATACTAAACACCTGCAGAATAGTACGGCGTTTCCTTCAAGATGAGCCTGCTGCCTCAGTGGGCCCATCGTAATACAAATATTTTAAAATCATCTAGGGATTAGTTACTTGGCCATGCCCGTAGCTGATCTTATATTACCAGCCCTTAAAGCTGAGATAAAAAACACAAACGTATAAATAATAATAATAAATAATTTATTTCTGTATAAAACTTAGCCTAGATAAGTACACGTTTGGTTCAAAAATGTAAACTTATAGCAACGATTTCCCAACGGTGAAGTGGTCGGACCGGCGGACTCGAGATCCGAGGAACGCGGGTTCGAATCCCACCGCCGCTTGACTATTGTGGTGATCCCACTCGTAACACAAGCTCATTTAGCTTAACACGAGGGGCTAATGGGACTATAAGTAATTTAATTGAGATTGCATTATAGTATTTATTTCAATAGCTTCACGCATGAATTTTGAATAAAAGGGTTTAGTCGATAGTGATTTTCCGTTGTGGCTAAAGGCGAACCGCGAAAGCCAGGAAAAAAACAACCCAGTGATTAACTCCCGAGTTTTATTCAAATAATCACTGGTTTTCCTTCAGAAACTTTCCATTCCTGAAAGGATTTTCAGCAATGAACTGCTTTGCCTAACTTCTATCGTGCTTCAATAGCTGCAATTAATTTCCTACACATCCTTACTCTTTAGTCAAGTTTACATAAGTACTTGAGCCCTCACTCAAGTAGTTCGTTAATCAAATAAGTTGGTATCGAGTGCGGTCACCTTAAGAAGACTTGCGTGGACGATTTTTTGCGTTACGGTCAACGACATTTTAATCCTCTTAGATGAGACCTATGTAGAACTATACCAAACACCGATTGAGGAACTTCCCCACACACGATTTCCAACTCTAACTTTGGGTGGTAGAGTTCGTTTTAGAGTGTGATTCGATCGTATTAACTATAATAATATTACGATCAGTGCGGTTTTTGTATAGGACCGTTAATTGGTGTATTGAGTGAGGAGATAGTCGGATAGATTTGAAGTTACCTGTCAGTTGTGGTTTTCTGGTCGGATGATGCAACGGTATCGCCCCAAAATGGAGATGTCTGGACTGGTCTTGCACCTTTATGAGTCTAAACACTATTTCGGTTCTACGAAATTAAAAATCTTTCGTCATTGATGAATTTGTTGAACACCACAAAAAAGTATAATCATAGCTGTTCAATCTCATAAATATAATTTATAACAAAATTGACTTTGTAAAATTTAGAGTTAACATCTACCTTTCAGGCTCTCTACAAAGATTTAGGTATTAGTAAGATTTAGCTTTTGCTTTGACTGTACATCATAGCCTTTAAAACAATAGAAACTTTAAAGGCCAATGTTTAACCCACTTAATTTTAAGCTGCATGTGTCAAACAAGGCTGTATGTTTCTTTAATAAAGATAAATAAATAACTTATTTATTACGTTCTATTCAATTCGAGTTCAGACTGGTATGTGATGGCCTAAATGTCTTAATCGAATTTATTTTTGTAATCAAATCTACTTTTGTGCTTTGTTTAATACGCACTTGAACCTTTGAGGGTTAACCTTTCCAAATAATTGGTCAAATTAAAATCACAACTTTACTGAAACTGTTTCCAAAAGTTTGGGAATCAATAGCTTACAGTAAAACACGTTGTTACACGAATAAAATCGGTGTTTGTTTGTGAAAACAGTTAAAGACCGCACAAGTAGCCGTCGGATATAAATTAGCCTGCTTTCAACTGTGACAGTTGGTGAAAACCTCAGATCATAGAAAGAGAATAGATATGAAGTCGCGCGTAACTACAACGAGAACCAGTGTCCCCACATTTCCCCCACCACAGCTCCCACACACACATTCTACTGTGTAAAAACAAAGCGTCTGAGAGTCTACGACAACATGTGCAACCGGCTTAAAAGTGCTGTGATTGGCCAGAAGGCGTGCCTTATGGCCAATCAATGGCCGCGTGACGTGACGCACACTTTGAAAAAAGCAATTAGAGAGAAGAAAGATAAAATGGAGTCGATAAGATATCGATACTTTAAATCCTGAGGGCAAGGCTCGAAATTGGTTTAAAAAATGCTTGTATGAAAACCTTTTTATTATTATACGTTATTATTATGTTCTTTAACGATTTTTGCATAAAGGAGTCAGTTCCATTTTGAATGGACGAAAAACTCAGAATCAATTATTGGGACTAAATGAAGTTACCTTAAATTAATTTACCCCAACCAAAGCTCAATGTCGTTATCGATGGAGTATAGAAGTTATAGACTGACAAAGTTTGTATGAAAAGTCATGGGTTAAGTAGGTACTTGCGATTTTTACCAGTATTTACATTATTGGTAATATATTATTATTTACTTTAATAATAATAACAGGATCACTGTAATTATTATTAACTACTATCGCGCATTAACTTTTTAATTATGGCGAAATTCGTACCGCCTATGTTTATCAAAAATAATGCCTATATTAGGCTTTCAACTAGCTCTTATAGTAATTACATAGTTGACAGTTACTAATCCCTTCTACTATTGTTATTGTTTTTGTAAAAACTTAAAAATCGCAAGCAACTCATGATTTTTTCATTCAAAATTAGAAAATAGAAAATAATAATTTACTTCTATTTATCGATAATAGGAAACCGTATTAGAACACGAGCCCTGCACTATGTTACGACCGGCACATGCAGCCGTACTGTGTATTTTCACGCGTCAGTGGATATCGGAAGAAATAAAATACATTGCGCAGTAGTTACGCATGACATAAAGTGGTTGCTAACTAAATCGTCAATGTACAACGTGTTTGAATTTTTATCACCACTAATTTCGATATCGCAGTAAATGTCACGGCACTGAATTCGTTCGTAAAAATGTTTAGTTTTTTTTATTTATAAGCAAAATACCAATGGATTTGCAATACTTACATGGTGTAAATGACTTCATTGTTCCTGTAGTTCTTCGTGTCACTTATGTTATTGCACGTTACGACGCATTATCCAACAATATCGGAGAACATTTCCTCAGTACGACTGAATCGCGACTAACCTGGCGTCGCGGGCGATGTTCGTTTCTGGGCATATCGCGGAGACACTCGCCACGCCCCCGTTTCACATCTATTCCCTTCTATGATCTGAGGTGAAAACATTCGTCAGCTTCAATTGGTGGCTTAAGGCGTATTTTTGAAGCAATTGAATTTAAATTCGCATACGAATTTCTTAGTCTGACTACACGCGTTGGCTCCAATATTGGTCCCAATGCCACTCAGCCAACGGATTTAATTAAAAAATAGTATTGTCACCAACGTTGGGACAAGCTTTTTTCTAGAACGACACATTAAGCGAGTGGCGTTAGAACAACGTTGGAGCCAACGTGTGGAGCAGGCCTTAAACTAATATAGTGAACGAAACTCGCATTTCGAACTCTACTATTGGCACTGACATGACGCAGAGCAATCATAATACCTGTTCAATTCAAAACCAAACCTTTGAAAACTATAAATATCTTATCTCCGGTTTTTAGTCTACGTGATCCAAAAATAGTTTAAACCTTTTAATTTATGTAAACGTGGTAATAAAGTGGTTCAAAATACGCATAGTCACTTATACTCGTAGTTAAAATCTAATTAGCATACGATTTGTTTTGCGAATTCAAGTTTCTTTTACTATATACGTCTAAAGCCAACATAATAATATTTATTCAATCCTGAGATTAACGCGTTCAAGCAAACAAACTCTTCGGCTTTATAATATTAGTACAGATCAAATCAAATCGTTCAAAAGCATTAAGCATTAAAACAGGCTATACTTATCTTCTCCGCTTCAAACCCGCTCGACATCGCCCACTCGTCTCCGTTCTATCCTGGTTGGCTTCGCGTGCATCACACATTTTATGCATAAAACTTGTCTCAGCCCCTTTCCGCTCCGCTTACACCGTGTCCATTCAAGCGGAGCGGAGATTTAGAGCATTCCGATTGGTTATTCAAGGCGCCACCCAGCTCCGCCTCGGAAGAAACCGAGCCTAAATCATTGTGAAAATTATTAAATATCGCATGTTACCATTACGCATCGTAACATCTATCAATCCAATTTGTACCTATCTCAATGAAAACGACGTTAATCATCAACCCAATTAACTGTTTTTTATCATTTGCTCGATAATAATGTTATAAAGGCAATTTTAGTGTTTCAACTAAACACAATTCCTTAACTACGCAGCCAGATCGATCATCTAACAGAACAAGGCAAAATACCAATTATAGTCGGTGGTACAAATTACTACATTGAGTCTATAGTGTATAAAATACTCGTTGAAGATACTGACGACTCTGAATCATTGTTATGGGATAGAAGTAGACGAAAGAGAGATTTAGATGACCACGATGCTGAGAATGAAGCTTCTTCTTCTAAGAAAAGTAACACGGATGCTAGCAGTTCTGAAAGTGAACTTATAGAAGATAAAACAGCTAAAAAAGTACCAGAAACTGAAAACGATTCTAGTGTTAATGAAGAATCAAAGGATCCAGAGAAAGAGAAAATTAAAATACAGCTTCAAGCTGATGTTGACAATGAGAAAAACTTCACGAACGAGGAAATTCATGAAAAATTGAAGGCGATAGATCCTGTTATGGCAGCTCGACTTCATCCCAACAATAGAAGAAAAGTTTTGAGGTAAGTGAAATAACTTTAAATTATACAATTTAGGGACTCAGAACATGACAGTAAAGCTGGCCTACCAATTACTTCACTCTTTTAAGATTTCATTAAGATATGAATTGCGTAATTAGTCTAAAAGTATAATCTGTACGGAATTAAAGAATCCTAATTTTCTTTTACGCAGTTACAATTTTAGTAGATTCATTCACAATAACAGTTCCATTCATTGTAGAACAACAAAAACATTTTAGTAAACTTTCATGAATGAAACTAACCGATTGTTTCGTGATATCTAAAGGTCTAAATTCCTATTCCACATAATAATTCTTATGGCATTGCAATAAGTGTTATAATTATACTTTTTGATACCGTTATCATATCGTAAAGTCAAAGTTCACACACGAGCACGTTACGATCGCGATTAGTATACGTTGATAGAAATATTGTAACATGTGGTCTATTATGTAAACAAGCGCCTTCCTGTTATGCAATACGGAAGTGTTTGGTTCAATTGAAGTTTACGCACTGTCATTATGGACGGAAAAGTTTTTGGGAGCAAATTGTCGCTCTCTAGCTGGATAAGCGCTTTCGCAGTATTTTAGGTCCAATTATTATTTGAAAATGATGCGACTGAGGAATTTGTAGTCTAGAAGATTAAGATTTTTACTCTCTCGGCCAAAAGGATTTGCACCACGTCCGAATCCGTCAAAATAGAGGTATTAGATGACGGAAGTCGGATCTAGTAGTTATACGGCTAGGTAGGTACTCAGACTCAGAACCCTATTTTCACGAATTCGGATCGGAGAAGTACGAAACAGCTCTTACGGTCGATTGAAGATAACGTCACATTTACCTACAGTAAATGATCATTTTAGGTTTAGGTTTAAAGAACTTTATTCTCATAAGAAATTTACATTTTGGGTGGTAGTTTCCATACTTGACAATGACATTGGGTCTACATATACAGTTGTTAATTTTTTTCTCTGGTCTATTAATTTATTAATCACGTAGCAACTAATTTATTTAGTTATTTACCGTATGTATGTATCGATTATCGACTGGGTGACCATTTTACCAACAAATAGGGAAACTGTACTGTGATAAGAACGATTTAATTAAAATCAACGGCAAATCATAATTTCAGAGGAAAATAATACTTCGGCTAATTAAATACAAAACACTAATTTAATTCATACAATCAACATTGTAATATGAATGTACCTATGCAGGAAAAATTAACATCAGTTATGATACCTACGGGATTGTTCCTGTATGTTATAGTAGGTGCCTACGATCGGTAAAATATCGACCGATGTTCTGCGTACTATACTCGTTTACCGAGTCGAATCTCGCTAATAGCAAATTTTAGTTTGTTCGTTCGTTTTAGCCAAATGACGTCCACTGCTGGACAAAGGCTTCCTCCAAGGATTTCCATAACTACCGGTCCTACGCTCCCTGGATTCAGGATCTTCCCGCGACATTCACCAGATCGTTCGGTCCACCTAGTGGGAAGCCTGCCCACGCTACGTCTTCCAGCCCGTGGTCGCCACTCGAGAACTTTTCTGCCCCAACGGACATCATCTCTACGAGCTATGTGCCCCGCCCATTGAAAGAAAGAAAAGAAAGAAAGAAAGAAACATTTATTGCCATGGACATCACAGAAGACAAAAGATGTAAATAATAGAAAAAAAAGTAAATAAGACATAGGTGACATAAAACATACAATGAAAATGAAAGTAAACTGAGCAGTGCCACCCTGTCGCACAGCGATATTCATCGCAATGGGACCCCACTCAGCATATGCCGTGGCCCCCGGTGAGGGAGGCCACGACGCTGGTTTTCAGTGTGCCCCCATTGCCACTTGATTTTAGCAATTCTGCAGAGTATACTTTGGTTTTCCTGCGGATCTCCTCATTTCTGAAATCAAAATTTTAGTATGGTGTGTAGAACAATTAATATTGGGGTATTAGTTTGAGACGTAATGTAATTGTGTCCGAGGATGTTTATTTGTTTAAAGTAGATTTTTTTTTACAAAGATTTATTAGTAGTATATTATTACAACAATTTCTAATACTCCCGCTAGCCACTCGTACTAAGCTAAATATGCTTGTATCACGAGTGAGCTCACCACAATAGTCGAGCGGCGGCGGGGACCGAACCCGCGTTCCCTGGATTACGAGTCGGCCAGTCCGACCCCACCGTTTGGCTATCGTGGCTAGATTAATTCAATTTTAAATGGTTAGTCCGTATAGTAGGCACACGGACGCTACGCCTAGTTTGGAGTAGGTATAATTATACTGTATACATATAGTGTGACATTAATATTATCAAAACCAAAATTACGCATCAAATGCGCACCATTTTATTCATTCACGCCAACAATCCGACGGAAAAGAACGCCGTATTGCGTCATTTCGCAAACCTGCCCTATAGACATACATAATTTAATGGGCAAATGGCTAGGTCAACTGGCCCGTGGCCGAATCCATCGCATTTTGCGTGGCAACAGAAATAGATATAAAAGTCACGTTCTTAGCATAAACGAAGGCCGAGGCGCAGACATAGAAGCGGCCAGTCTGGCAGACCCCTCTTGTTGTTAGAACGTCTAAGTACTTAGGAGAACGCTTGGGATATTTTCGGCGTTCCTCGTCTCCATTGGCGTATAGGGTTCTTTTTCAGAGGGGGCCTGGCCGCTGATATGCCATGTCACGGGGGGTGCGATTAGTATCATTGCTCATGCGTTAGTACATAATAATAATAAGTACTCTATCATCTTCAAATCAGTAGCCTTACATATCCTGAGGGGCGGGCACCAGATCCGCGTGCTCGTCTCTCTAACTTGTCCTAGAATCTGTTTGTCAGAAAATATGGTAGGTACCTGGTTGGTTGTAGATTCGAATCCCAAATGGGTGACAATAAAGCTTGTTTGATTAGTTCGATTAGCTTTAGTAATTGTGAAATTTCTCCCAATTTTCGTTGGTCTAATGGTTTAATTCATATCTTATACGGGACATACCTACGTTTGTTTGTCCACCATTATATTATTAGCACGATTTAAAATCAATTTAACAAACTATTTAGCTTTGAAATGTGTTATAAATTCAAGGAAAATCACACTTTAATATGCTACGACAAAGTCCGTAGGCCGTAGCAAAGTCGTAGTTAGTGTTCATAACGATAGCAGTTTATTTTGGACTAGCGGCCGCCCGCGACTTCGTACGCGTGGATCCCGTTTTACCCCCTTAGGGGTGGACTTTCGTAAAATCTTCTTAGCGGATGCCTACGTCATAACATCTACCTGCATGCCAAATTTCAGCCCGATCCGCCTAGTGGTTTGGGCTGTGCGTTTATAGATCACTATGTCAGTCAGTCAGTAAGTCAGTTACCTTTGAGTTGTATATATTTAGATAAATGTTAATCGATTTGTTTAAATAACTATAATTTTGCGTATTTAATAACTTTAAAAAGTAATGCGCATTAAATTTTGTTAAAAAAATCCAGACAAAACATAACAATAAAGCCAAATTAAACAATGTATCTGACGTCAATATAAGTCCGTTTCTGATTATTTCGATAGTTATCTCTTATAAACATAATATAAGACAATTAACCTAAGACGAAATGAACCGTAAAGCCGTAAAATCATAATATGTTATTGATTTTCTGATCATATCGATGGGTGCCTGGAACAAAGCCGCAATAGCCATAGCAGCAGTTTTCCGATTAAGTGATTTTAGTAAACTGCGGGTCCCTATACACCTTTTGAATTTTTTTCAGAATTTTATCTTTGAAACTGCCTGATTTACCAAAAGCACTATGGATATTGAATCGTTATTCCCATTCACCATTTAAAATTTGTTGACCGGAATAATCGTGCCATATACAATGTTAAAACTTTTATTTAAATCTTCTACAAGCAAACGGCTATTACTGTATCCTTCAGATCAGCGCCCGAGGCTGCAATACACTATTGCTGTTTGATTAATTGCACACTTTTTACCGGAATAAAACCACAATGGACTCTTACGGAACCGACTTTCAATGTATGAAGCGGCAATATGTATTTCTACCTTTTTTAAAGTATATTCTAAGCACTATAACCTTATGCACATTCAATGTTACTCCAGAAAAAATAACGCATCGTTTGATATACAAACCGTTTTGATACGCCTCGTAGTTTAGAATTATTCAAAATTGACACTAAATCTCTTCTCCTGTAAAATTGTGTTTTGTCGATTGCGGCTTTGTTCCAGGCACCCATCGATATAATAGTGACAATCCGGAAATGAAGATTATCTAATAATGACACTTCGCACGTACATTTTATTATATCTATTCTGACCTTATAGCGTTATCAAGTTGGACAATGTATGTTGGCATAATATACATAATATTCAGTCTATGTAATCTTACAAAAGTATTAATATTGCTACTAAGTGTAATGTTTTTGTCGTTTTGTAATAATAGGCAGGTACGTAAAACGAATGTTCTGACTGGGCCCACCTTCAATGTTTTATTAATAAATGAACAAGTAAATGAAACACCAAATCCACAAAAAAATATTAAAAAGCCCAGTCAATTAAAGAAAAACCATTTAAAAATTCAAACCAACGACTTGACTCCGTAAAACACGCTGTGTGCGAAACATTAACTCAACCAAACTTATACTGAAAAAACTAACAAAGAGGTGTCTTGAACTGTGTTCCTGACCTCATACAACCAAGGTCTTCGAGCCCCAAACAACTGGGTACTTTCATGGCATGCTCACGTAACGTTATCCCCTCTACGCCCTCAATGATAATGAAGGCAAACCCTAAGGGTTCCTGCACAAGTCGCCGCCACCGCGCCGCCGCCGCTCCGCCGCCGCGCCGCTACACTGTTCATACGCACCGAGTAAAACCGCCCGTGGCGGCGGCGTGATGGCGGCGTCGTGTGCATGAGCGCTAATACTTGAATGTACTTATTAAATAGTGAATTATATTGTCGTTGATCGTCGCCATATTGACCTACGCCTA